AATGTGAATGAACCAGTGAAAGAGGAGGCCTTAATATTCAAAAGACTAGTGAATAAATTCAGTTGTCTTCCTGAACTTTCCAAACCTCATACATTCTGGTATTAGAGGGGATGTGTAAACTTTTTATCCTCCAAATAATTTTAAATGGGCAGAGAGAACAGAAAGCTGATTAATTTCAAAAAGAATAATCTAATGGTTCATTTATAGTTTAGCGCTACCCCTATATAACGCTACACAGCACTAACGACAATAGTTACTTTCGTTTTTCTTAGAGCCTGCTACTATGCAGCCCCCTGATAACACAGTGACCTCCTGGTTCACACTCAACCACTGAGCCACACCAGCCGGCCCAAAGCTGCTTTTAATAGAGGGGAGGCACTGCAGACAATAACAAGAAATGTGTGTGAGGGTCCTTTTTGTTAATTAGTTGGCAAGAGAGGACTGAAGTCCCCGGACTACATCTTGTCTTCACTTTGGTAGCTCAGACACAATCATTGGTGATTGTCAGAATTTCCTCCTGGGACCACCCATGGTAGAAGCACCTGGAATATTTCATACAGGAACTGCTGAAGCAGTTCTGGTACTGCTCGAACACTGCGGGGAGAGACATATTACCCTTCCTATCTAATAATAGGCTTGAAGGAATGCAGGAATTTGCAATTTTAATAAGTTCCTCCATTAATTCTTATGCATTATATCAACACCGAGAAATATATATATATTCTTTCATCTTTCTCTATGTTTTTCTTTATGAAGTGACCAAGTGGAAAATTTCCTGCACAGCACAGACAAGTTCACATTTAATAACCCTCCTCCAATTTTGTGTTCATTTTGTATAGTCCCAAAGTTGCTTTAAAATATAAATACATATGTATATTTATATATATTTATATATGTTTATATTGATTTCAGAGAGGAAGGGAGAAGGACAGAGAGAGATAGAAACATCAATAATGAGAGAGAATTATTGATTGGCTGCCTCCTGCATGCCCCCTACTGGGGAGGGAGCCCACAACCTGGACATGTGCCCTGCCGGTGAATTCAACAGTGACCTCCTGGTTCACACTCAACCACTGAACCACACCAGCAGGGCCCAAAGCTGCTTTTAATAAGGGAGTAATAATCCCAGCCAATTGAGCTTGTTTGTTTTTTAAATGAAGCTTTGATTTCACAGTCAGGCTGTGTTTATATTTCCCTTGGTGTCCTTCCAGAGAGTTTTTTAATTTACTGGGGTGACATTGCTTTGCCTAACCATACACATTTCAAGTGTACAACTCAATAAAACATTATCTGAACACTGCATCACGTGTCCTCCCAGGGAATTTTAATGCCAACAAGAAAATGTGTCTGCTTATCCCTTCCATTTTTTGAGCACAATGTCCTAGGATGTCCCCAACTTTAGAATCTGAGACTTTGAGTTGCACAAAACCTTGGCTAGCCTTCATGAGCAACAGAAGAAAATAAAAAGGAAACCTCCAGGAAAAGAGGACAATAGAAAGCTATAGAAGTCAATTTCAGTAACAAGGAAAAACCAGCTGTAGTTTCTGGATGTGTTGTATTAATGACTATTCATATGAGAGGGATGCTGTACTAATGGCTGCTCATATGAGAGGGACGTCCACTACCTCCCTGCTTAAGCTCCTGGAGGGTCTTGGAAGACATGGACATGCCTTGAAGATGAAGCCTATTCTTATGAACTGTATAGAACACCCAAAATAAAATCCTATATAATAAAGCCTAATATGCTAAGTGTCCAGTCCACATTCAACCAACCAATATGCTAATGATATGCTAAGGTCGCTCAACCGCTGGCTATGATGTGCACTGACCACTAGGGGGCAGACACTCGGACTGGTAGGTTAGCTTGCTGCTGGGGTATGTCAGATCGGGACTGAGCAAGATGGGCCAGTCCCCCCCCCAGCTGACCAACCTCCCTCCTCCCTCCCTTGTCCCCATCACCCACCGGTGGGGTCCCTCAGACTGGCCTGGCCTTCATCGCAATCCGGACCACCCAAAATAAAATCCTATATAATAAAGCCTAATATGCTAAGTGTCCAGTCCACATTCAACCAACCAATATGCTAATGATATGCTAAGGTCGCTCAACCGCTGGCTATGATGTGCACTGACCACTAGGGGGCAGACACTCGGACTGGTAGGTTAGCTTGCTGCTGGGGTATGGCAGATCGGGACTGAGCAAGATGGGCCAGTCCCTCCCCAGCTGACCAACCTCCCTCCTCCCTCCCTAGTCCCCATCACGCACCGGTGGGGTCCCTCAGACTGGCCTGGCCTTCATAGCAATCCAGGATCCCCGTGGGATGTCAGAGAGCTGGTTTCAGCCAATCCCACAGGCCACGCAGAGGGACCCCACTAGTGCACAAATTCGTGCACCCGGCCTCTAGTACATGTTTAAAGCCTCATTTCTAACCCCAGTTATTTAAATTCTAATCAATTCCCATGAATTTTTGGTGTGTCAGAGGTTCTCCACCAATCAAGTACAGAGTGACTGTCTTCTCCCCAAAAGGGAAATCAACAGCCCTAGTCAGCTTGGGGACCCAACTCCAGCTCAGCCAGTGCCATTCTGCTGGCTCCCTCCCCACCCCCA